GCTGGGGACAAGGAGAGCCCCTGGATTTCTGCTGGCTGATTTCTTACAGCTCATGGCATAGGCCAGGGTCAGAGTGGGAGGGCACAAATGCTCCTTTGGTGTATTCTGTTTTTCTGAGTTCATGTTTTGCCTGGGAGATCATTTTGTGACAGCTTGAGCTTCTCTGCGGCAACTTCAATTTGGAGTTTAAAGCACTTGTCATGTGAACCACCAGGGCAGTGCTCCCCTCGTGTTCCACATCCCTTGGGAGTGGAGAACAACAGTTACTGTGTGCCTGAAGTGGTTCCTAGAAAATACCAAGTGATCTTTGGTTGACTTGTTTTTGTTTTTCTTCCAAGGAGGATGTCAGCGTTGTCCCTGAGTGTTCAGGGGAGCAGCCTGTCAACAGGGCTGCAGCTGAGAGAGCCTTGCCTGGCAACACAAGCAGTGGGAACAGTTCCCTGGAGCCCGAGGAGCCTGGTAAGAGGAGAGCCCCCATTCCTTGTGAGAGGTCTAAAAGGGCTGCTGTGAGCTGGACAGACACAGTGGGAGATCAGGAGTTCAGTCCTGTCTGCAATGTGGGCACCTCCTGAGCCTTTAGTTCAAATGCTGCAGTGGCAGCACCTCCCCGAGCCCTGCCCCGCAGTTGCGCTCCTGAGGAGGCACCGACACCGAGGCCTCTGCTGTGGCAGCAGAGCCGTGCCTGAGCCTGACCTGTGGGAGCTGTGTCACCAACCCCAGTGTCCCCATTCCAGGCTGAGGTCCACGGATCAATTTGCTGCAGGGTGACAGCGCTGCCGAGGCGGTGCTGGGCGGGGTGACTATTGCAGCAACAGCAAAACCCCACCAAAATGATGAAGCCAGCGCCAAAGTCCAAACTTTTTTGCCTCAAATCATAACCTAAATTTGGTAGCACTCTGTTGATACCTGTCCTGAGACACAGGAGAAAAACAAGCAGCACAACATCTGAAGGCAAGCAATTCTCAAAGCCAGTAACTAAAGGGAAAGCCTAAATGTCCCCAGCCCAGCAAGGCCTCAGAGGAGAGAGGGAGCCCTTTGGATTTGCATTCCAGATGAAAGCTGGTGCAGCCTGCAGGCCTCACACGGAGCAATTTTCCTCCCAGCTGTTCCTGCCAGGGCTGCAGGCAGAGCTGGAGGAGCTGTGGTTCACTGCAGAGGCAGTTCTTCAGTCCCAGGTAATGGAGCTGGTTCATGGCTCAGCTCATGGCACTTTTCAGCCTCAGCCGTTCCACTGAGGACTGAGGGCTCTGTCAGCACAGGGAAAGAGCAGGGCCAGGCTTCTTTGTGTGAGCTGGGGCTGTGTTCACAACTCTCGTGGGTGCCACTTGCACTGCAAGTGCTGGAGCTTTATGGGGATACTTCAGACCTTTGCAGTCTGGAAAGCTCTGGAAGCATTGCTGTTCTCTGCAGAGCAGCTTCCAATTCCCAGGTCAGACTCTGCATTTCTGGCCATCCGCACAGTCCCTGGTAGTAGTACAGTTCTGTCCTGGGAAAACGTGCCCGATGGCCGCTGCTGACTCCGTGTTCCCGGTGTTTCTCAGAGCTCCACCTGCTGTACCTTGCCAGGAGGGCTGCCCTGCGCAGGCGGAAGTGCCCGAGCTCCCAGCCAGGGCCGGCCCTGGTGGGTGCCGATGGTGGCCGCGCTGCGGGGGCGCAGCTCCTCGTGAAGAGCCCCGACTGCTGCCCCGAGGTCCCTGCAGACACCAAGAGACTGAAGAGAGACCAGAAGGAGAACCTGCCGGGCGGCCTGGAGGTGTTCAGCTCTGCTTCCAGCCACTCCCAGGAGCACCTGGACTCAGCCCTGAGCAGGGACCTGCAGCTGCCACCCTCGAGCCAGCTGTGCGGTGAGACCGGGGTGACATGGGGGATTTGGGGGTTTGTAAATCTTGGGGTCCATGTAGATGTGGGGTCAGTTGTGTGCAGGGACAGCTGGAACTTCTGTCTCTTGTGTGCCAAGGGGAAAGGACCTGGCAGTGAGGCTTCTGGCAGTGCTTTCCTGCCAAGGGATTGCAAGCTAGCCTGGTTCTCAGGAGGAGTGAATAGGGATGTGAAAGCTAAATAGAAAAGTTCTTCATTCTTGGAAAGCCCCAGAACTTGTTGGGGTATTTTCTTTCTTAGCCTGTTCAGGAAGATCTGGGATTTTATAATCCCTGAGAGAAGTACAATTGCTGCCAAGGGAAACGTGCACACAGCTGATGCTGACTCAGGGTCCCTTTTTCTGGCTTTTTCCAGGCCCCTCCAGGACAAGTGGAGCTCCAGGCCCCTCCAGGACAAGTGGAGCTGCTTCTGGATTGCTCCCAGGTAAGGAGGCTCCCCCACTTCTTCCAGAGAAAGTTTTCTACACTCCAAGAATTTAGAGTTTTTTTTTAATGAGGCCACAGCCTTGTCCACGTGTGCAGTCCTGGCTTATATTTGTTTTTTGTCAGTCCTGTTGTAATCTGAAGAATTTTTGACACTGGAATTGATAATTCAATATATTATCAGTGTAATTGTAGCAGTTTCCAGTAAATTAAAGTATTAATTGAGATGGGTGTTGATCTGTGTTACTGTAGTGGTTTGAATTTGCCAATTTAGTTTCCCGGCCAACGCACCAAATAAATGTTGTGGTTTTAAAGCATCAATTAAAAAAGCACTAGAAAACTTATTTCTTGCTGTGAGATATGGATTAGAATAGGAGCAAAAAAAGCTTAAAACTTAAAAGGAATAAAGAAAGTTTATTAACAAAACTACAAGAATAAGAAAACCAGAATAAACCCTCCAGAAAACCCCTTTATCCCCCACTATGCAACCATTCCCTTGTTCACATGACAACATAGAGACAAACAACTTTGGTGTTTACAACAGTCCCAATTCTTGCTAGAGTCTTTTCATCAGTCTTTGTAGAGAAACAGAAGTCCTTTTCTGCTAATCTATGGAGTTTCTCACAAGAAAACTATTTCTGTTATAGCTTTCTATTTCTCTGATGTCAGCTGCCCGGAAATCTGCCATCAGTTCACTCCTCCCATTTCACATCACTCTGAGGTGATGGGTCAAATGAGTCTAGGGATGTCATTTTTAAGGATGAGTTATTTAAAGGCAAAAGTTCTTTTCATCTGTCTCTGTGAGCCTCCCTGGAAAGAGAAGTTTTCTCTTGGCCTCTCAATGGTCCCAAATCTTCAACTATTACTTCTCCCCCTCTGTTCCAGCACCTCACTGTATCACAATTACTACACCTTTTGCTTAAAATCTATACTTTGAAATACTTTATTCTGCCCAATATACTCTGTCATGAATTAAAGGACTTTTTTTTTCAGAACACTATTGTCCATCTCCATAGCTTTAACAGAAAAATATTTCAGCTTATTAAAGCATCTTCTTATTCTCTCTTCCCCATCTAAAACTTAATTCTTTTCTTCACTGTCCTTGATGGTTTTATGGTGTCTTCTTCATGTTGATTATCCCTCTCTCTCTCTCTCTCTCTCTCTTCCTCTCTTTCTGGGAAAAAGGAGTCATCTGTAAGTCTTATCCAGGTAGTGAAAGAATTAAAGTCTTGGAAAGCTGCAGATGTTCATGGTGTCAGGTTTCAGTTCAGAAGCCAGAAACCAAAGAGAACAAGAGAGCCCTGGCCTTACATCTTAAGGTGGTGTTCACAAGTTGATCTCACTTCTTAATGGTTAAACCCACCACCACTTCTCAGGAATGGCCAATAATTGGTCAGGAGAAAAGACTCCCATCAGCCTCCAGCAACTTCAAACTTCCCTAGCTCCCAAAGCTATGTTAAAAGTAAAGTCACCCCAAGACAGTTACTCAAAGCATTTTGCAGGGTAGACATTCTGATGCTGAGGATTTTGTCAGTGAGTGAAGGCAGCTGGGGGAAAATATCCAAGCAAGCCCAGCAGATCTCTCCGTTCCAGTGCAGCTGGGCAATGAAACCACAGATTTTTGGTGGCCCAACCCACTGTGTGAATCCTAAAATCCAGAGCAATTCCCATTGGAATTGGCAGAGGTCAAAAGGGAACAGCTGCAGGGCAATGCTGGCCATGGCTGGCTCTGAGTCACCCAGCTGTGGATGTGCCAGGCACGGACTGCTTTCAGCAGATGCATTTGCAGAGCCTTGGCTGGGCAGGCCCTTGGGTCCCCACTGAGCTCTCTGTGCCTCTCTAACACCGACAGAGGTGCAGAGCTGCTGGGAAACCCTGCAGGCCTCTCACTGATTTGGCCTGGCAGAACTTCACACTGTCCCAGCACAGAAGGTGCTTCACCTGCTCCTGCAAGTCCCTCTGCCTTGCTGAGGCCCCAGGGAAAGCAAAGGCCAGGCCCTGCTACCTGGATGGGATAGGAATGTGCATCTGTGCTGAGAGAGAGAGAGCAGGGAAGCAAATACAATCCTATTAACAATTACAGTTTGCAAACCACAGCTGTCAGCTTTTCTGTGTTTGTATTAATGAGAAGGGTAGGGAGTAGCTTTGTGTATCGATGGAGGGTGAAGCATGAGTGTCAGAATTCAGCTTATTTCTGTTTCTTTTCTGGCATTTTTCCTGTCATAAGGCTGACAGCCAAAGGCATCTTGCTCAGAATCTCAGATCTGTGACCTTAGCAGTAGCCAAGTGTCCCCTGTCAACCTGTTTGCCTCAAAGTAAGCAAAGTTCAAAGCAAAGGTGTGTTCACAGTAAAGGTGTGAGCTCTTGGCTTCTTTTAGAGACAGAAAACATACCAAACTCAAGCCTGCTTGCTGAATTCTCTGGAAAATCTGACTCACTCAAGGAAGTAGCATTTTGGGGTATTTGTGATGTGACAAATTTTCTGTTGATCATTCATTCAGATAATCAGTAAGCCAGACCAATAATTCTCTTAATAATGTTTTAACACATCTGACTGCAATAATATAACTTGAAATTTTGGCTTCAATCTGCAGCGGTGTTTTGAAGATGAGAATATTCATTTGAGGGAGGAACAGATTGCATTTGCAGAGTTGTGGTTTTTTGTTCAGCACACAGATTCTCTCATTTCCCCTTCTATAGTTGTAAGCATTAAAGTAAACCATCAGCTTGGGAAATGCAGCTCAAATGTACCTGTTTATATTTTGCTTAATGTATTTTTCGCATGAGCTGAAAGTACTCATTGGTCATTTGCTTCATAGCATTCTTTGTAATTGTGAGACGGAAAAAAGACCGCAGGAATTTCTCCCATCAACACAAAGTACGTAGGAGAGCATTACAAAGACCCTTCAGCCATATTCATGTTTTGCTTTACACAGACCTTTATTAAATGTATAGTTTTAAATGTATTTTACCAAGCAGACTTTCAGTTCAGTTACAGCAATTCCTTTTCAGTCAGCTAGACAAGTGAAGTATTCCCACACACATCTGCAATATCCTCCTTGTCTGCTATTACCCCTGAGTGAACTCCTTGCAGTTTCAGAGTTGCAATGTAATATAAGAAAATAATCAGGCACCGCATCAGAGTTTAAAAGCGGGAGTGGTCCCTGCCCTGGCCAGGAGCAGAGGAGCAGTGGTTGTGGCCCCGGGCACGTGCACCACGCCGCCTCCTTAGGAACCGCTCCCGCTCTGTGGGGTTGAGCACAACCTGGGGACACCTGTGACTCTCCTGGAGACCTGTCCGTGGTGTTCCAGCTTCCTCCTGCACACTGGAGCTTGAGGATCCACTGGAAGGAGTCCTCACCCGGGAGCTGGAGCTGCTGGGGCTGGCGCTGTTGTCCTCTCTGGTATCGTGGGATTGATGAGGTCATGAACAAGGGGTGCTGTGTGTTCCTCCAGGCGGCTCTGCAACCTCAGGACCAGGATCGCCTCATTCAGACCATGGAGGCAGAGCTCACACAGGATGGAGCTCTCTGCAGCATCTACCAGCCACCACTGGTCCTGGAATATTCCCTGCAGCCTCTGGCGCAGCCAGGGCCGCACGGGCTCCAGGAGGAGCTGTCCTTGACGGAAAAGTCCTGCCCATATCTCGGGCAGGAGGCCACCCACAGGCTCCAGCTCTGAAGGCTCAACTGGGGGCGGCATCCCCTGTGGAGAAGGTGCAGGGTCCTGGGGGCTGTTCTCGTCCAGCCGATGGGCAGCTGTCCCTGGCTGGCTGCTGGTCTCTGCTGCCTCCCCAGGGGACGTGATGACAAACTGGACATAGTCCTGTTCGCGCCTCTCGGAAAACCTGACAGTCTCTATTGCTGTCCTGCAGAGCGGGCAGGAGGGATTTGTTGTGGCCCACCGCAGGATGCAGCCCAGGCAGAACTGGTGGCAACAGGGCAGAACTGAAGCCGCGTCATCCCAAGTCTCCTGGCAGATGGGGCAGTTGCTGTCTGTCCCTGTGGCCATCCGTGTGCTCTGCAGCACGTTGGGGACAGCTGAAGACCAGGAGCTGCTCCCCTCGCTGGTGTCACATGCTGCAGGAGGGAGAGACCATAGTCACTGGCTGTGCCAAGGAGAGGAATAAAAGGCAGGAAATGCCCAGGTGCCTGGAGAAGGACACCCTCCTGTCTCCCTGAGCCCAGGTCAAATGCCAGAAAATGCCCAGGTGCCTGGAGAAGGACACCCTCCTGTCTCCCTGAGCCCTGTCACCTGCCCCAGGGCCACCGCAGGGACACAGGGGTGTCACCCTCAGTCTGCACCTGCTATGCCAGCTTGCCCCAAGCGGGCAGGGTGGGGAAACAGGAGTCATGGCTCTGGGATGGGCACTGGGAGCTGCTGAATTCTCTGACATCAGCTCCAACACACCACCCAGTACTGGAAAGGCCTGACTTCACCCTCCAGACCTTGCAGTCTTGGCTGGCGGAAGTCAAGGTTTGCCCCAGACTGTCCCAGGCTCTGCTGGTGCCTGAGTGGAATCAGCAATGGAGGTGATGTCACAATCTGACACTTGTGATGTCACCCTCAACCACCCTGTGATGTCACAATAGGATGTTCCCCTCCTGCAGGTGCACCTTGTCAGGTGCAAAAATAAAATACTCTTTCTTACTTTTAACTTCTACATCTCCATGCTACTCTCCTTTGGTTACTTGTGTCAGGTGGCCACAACTGTGTGTCCCTGCTCCTGACACGTTGCTGAGCTGTCCCACAAGCAGGACTGTGGTGGCAGCAGTCGCCATGGGCTGCCTGCAGCTGGATCCAGACCCCTCTGCTCCTCCCTGCCCTGGCCTGGGCAAAGCTGGCATTTGGAGAACCTGGGGCATGGGAGTCTCCCACCCCTTTGGATGCCCCTGCCACAGGGAAAAGCAAAAAGGAAGCCTCTGCTCCAAGCACATCCATTTCTGCTGGCATTTGGCCACAGTGCCCGAACTATCTCTGCTTCCCAAGTCCCCATGTTCCTGAAAACCAGTGTCTTGCTGCTCCTCAAAAGTACCAGCGATGGAGACTGGCTCGACACCGCAGGAAGGAGCTGGAGTTGCTGACTCTCGGGAGTGGGGCACAACAATCCTTTTCTCTGAAGAGCCCAGGATCCATCGCCACAGTCGGCAGGCCCTAATGTCACAAATCCCTTCTTGTCTCAGATTGCTGTCATCATTCAGAGCTATTAGCTCTTCGGTATTTTTTTTTCCATGAGAAGGGCACTCTCTGGTATCCTGAGGGCTGGCTGCTGTGAGCCCAGGGTGCTCAGTGCATCCCCCACAGGCTCTGCCCAGGAACATCTCCTCAGGTGACAGTCCCTGGTCTCTATTCATGAGGCTTCTGCTCTGCCTCGCTGCCAGAGGCCATCACCTCCAGGCATTTCAGGCCAGTCTCTGCACAAGATTCTTCTCCTTTAAGGTTTAAAGTCAGACTTTGTCCTCTCTGCAGCCCTGCTCGATCGAGGGCACGAGGGCTCCTTGCACCAGGTTTTGGGGCCGTGTGACTGTTGTGCCTTGCTTACCCGATTAAATGAGTTCCCTTGGTGGTGCCAAGCAGAATTGTGGCTCCAAAGCCAGGAAGGAATTTCCTTTTGTTGTGAATTAATGTTGTAAATATTGGCTTTTCACAATTATTCTGATAAATATATTATATGCTTTCACTATATTCTTTTCTCTTAGCAAGTTACAGGCTTAGATAGGAATTCTGAATGGTAAGGATATGTCTCATCTGGAGAAGGCAAGATAACTCCAACAGGCAAGACCATGGGAGGATCAAGCTGTGGAAAACAGGCTATTATCAGCAGCAGGAAATGGAGAGCAAACTGTTACCAAAAAGCTGGTACCAGGACGTTGGCAAGGGGGAAAGATATGAAGCCCATCTGCTCTCTGAGGAAGTATAAGGGGCCTGGACTCTTATCAACAAGTGACCATCTGCAGCAGAAAGGAAACCAAACTCCAAAATAATACTGACCAGCTAGAATAACAATAACCAGCAAAAATTATGCTGACCAGCAGAAAATAACATGATCCAAGAAGGTGGAACCAGGGAGGGGACATGCTTGAATATGCATTAACCTCTCACGGCAAAGATGGGATAAAAAGGACACTCCTGAAATACCAGGTGTGTTCCTGGTAACCCACCAGGGCACCCGGCCGTTTTAACCCTTTGCTTTATTTCTTTTGTCTCCTAATTGTCTTTTGTTTATATTAAATTCTTTTCATAATGTATTATGTGAATCTCTTTTTTAAGACTTTGCTACTTCTTTTGGCAGCAGTTTTTTTTTCACCGGCACAGTGACAAGGCCGGGCATCCACCCCGGCCACGGGGTGAAATGGAAAAGGCCGCTTTTCACATTCCGGAATCCTGCTCCCCGCCGGGCATCGCCGGGCCGGGGGAGAGGCGGGCGGTGTGCCTGGGGGTGTCCGTGTGGCCCCTGGGAGCTCAGCGCTGATGTGGCTCTGCGAAGCTCGGCCATCACAAGGGGCTCCCCCCTGCCGGCCGCGATGTCATCGCTGATGTTTTCCATTCCACGCTCCGACGTCACAAGGGCTTTACCCGGACCCCCCGTGAGCCCGCTGTCGACACGGGCTCCGCGGAGCTC